TTTAAATACATAGAAGAATTAATCTGAAATTTACAATCAGTTTAATATTTATATTTTATGCAAAATCTTAAATGAAATTATTTATTTTTGCTTAAAATTATCTTTTTTATCATATATCATTTAATTATTTTGAATAATTGAGCTATTTCGGTAATAATTCAATTTATATAAGATTAAAACTATAATTTTCATAATTTTAGGCGAATAATTGGTGTCATCGTGGTGTTGAACTGTTAACGACAATACCATATGACTGTACGGCAAGTTATGCTGCAAATGCATTAACAACCGTTGACAAATATATTGAAGAAGGCGAATCACTGAAGGTTTAAATCATTCAACAATAAAATAAATGATATGATATCATTAATTGATAAGATCAGCCAAATGAAATTATCGACTTTGCTTTACACTTTCTGATATATTATTCATTTAATCATGCAGAAATGCTAATAAATGACGAATTTTAAGTATAATATTGAGTTTTTAAGTGGTGAATTTTAAGGTAATATTAATTAGTGGAATATGTTATGATATTGTAAAGAGAATTTACTGTATTCGTTGATGGAACTAATTGTGCTTTTGTGCTAATTGTGCTATTGTAAACACTTATAGTATGATAGAGATTAATTACGATATCATAATCACATAATAAATTTTGGAATTTTATAGCTCGCTAGTTATTATTTAGGTGCTTAAATTAATTTATTAAGACAATTTATTACAATGTGGTAGAAATTTCTTACAGTATCATAAACGGAATTTACTGTATTCACAATAGAATTTATCAGAGTATCGTGAACGTATTATGATCATCATAATTATAGTTAAATCTGCTTTCAGTTTGATACTTTCACTAATGAGCCAGATTTGAACAAATTGATAATGCTTACAACAACTGAAACATCCACATTACTTGCACAGGTAATTTTACTTTTTAGAAAATTTAGAAAAATCATAAACGGATTTAAAATTCATAAATGTTGTAGTCTAACAACAATTTGAATTAATGATAATGTACTTTATAGAAATATTGAACATTTTTCATTTTGATTGAATTAGTTTTCTTCTATTATTGGAATAAATTTTATCAAAAAAAAGTTATTCTGTATTTCGTTTCTTTTTTTTCTTTGATATAATAATTATTTTTTTGAATAAAACTCCAAAAATGTATATTATTTTTGATATTTCGGATTATATCATTTTTGGGATTTCGAATTATCAGTTAACTATAGTTTGTAATCTATATAAAAAGCAATAAACAACAGGAGGAAAGACCTTATTAATTAATGAAATTAATTTAGTAACAGTTTTATCCCATATTATCAACTATAGAATGATAAGTTATAATGAAGGAAAATAACAGTTTAAATTGGAACAAAATTTTTTGCTCCTACATTGTATACATATTTAATATTCTTTCATATTTATTAAACAAATTTCAAATTTTTAAGAATTATAAAAATTACAAGATTACTTTTGAAAAAAATCAAATATTTGTTTTATATCATAGGAAAAGGTAAGAAGAAAAACACAAAATCGAAAAAGAAAAGAAAAAAAGTAACGAAGGAATAGTGTAAAAAAAATGGATGAGGCAAAACAAATTACCAAAGGATTTCTTGTAAAAAATAAAAAAAATAATCGCTCCCTCATTTAAAATCAGCCAACTAAGAAGGGAACGAATTTAGTTTGCTTCATTCAAAAATTGCTTCCTTTTATTAATTTTTCAAAATTTTACAATAACTAAAATTTACAGCATATATCATTGGTTAGTATTAGATCATTAAAAATTTTATTTAATAAATCGATTGATTTTATCATTATCGGATATATTCATATATATGACATTCAAATATTCCCACTTATTAAAAAGAAAACTGTTTTAGAAAAAAAAAATAGTTTTAAAAGAAAAAAGAAATGACGACGAATTTTTCTATGGCGTGATTGAAATATAATAAATTGTAGGTTGCGGAACGTATTGATGATATGCGACGTTTAAGTCTTTCTCGACGTGATGCGTTACAAAAGATGGCACTACGTGAAACTCGTAAACCGCCTGTTCAAATTGTTAGTCCAGAAAAATTACCATGCGTTAATGATGATAAACGTTGCTCAATTACAGGTGATAAGAGGAATTCAATTTCAACATCACCAAATAAGGTATCATGTTATTTGCTTAATGTTTCATTTAATTTTTATGATAAATTTTGGAACGATATCATATTTCATAGTATATATTTATAATTTTTACATTTATAACGTTTAATACACTTACATTTAGCCGTATGATAGGCGCACATGTTACATACGTATGTAACACGTACTGATATTTATGATACGTGTTGATATTTACCATATGTATATGATACGTGTTGATATTTACGGTACGTGTTAATATTTTGATTTTGATTCGATCCATTATCGCATTCCTTTCTTGCCTTTCATAGCACAAAAAAAGAATACAAAAAAAAAAAAAAATTCACTTTTCTTTTCTATCTCATTAATAATTATTACATTCCGATCTTTGTCCATTAATGCATATTGTCTATTTTTTCTCTCTCTTTCGTTTATATGAAAAGAACAAATTGAACAAATAAAATTTCTGATTTACTTTCTATAAATTCAATTCTTTCAAACAATTCAATAAGGAACAGATTTTATCTTATCATAAAAATATTTATCTTTACACTCTTTCTCTATCTCTCTCTCTCTCTCTCACTCTCTCCCTCTCCCCTTTTTTTTATTTTTAACCAATTATTTATAATTTTTGGCGCCATTTAATTCCATATGTGTGTAAGCGTTTAATTTTTTGACGAAAATTTCGCGAAATATATTTCTTAAAGTACCGCTGAAATCAATAAATCTTTTGAAGATTTCCGCCCTTTCTATTTTGTAATCACTACGAACGATATTTGCAATAATATTTTTGAACTTAAAATTTGCCTTCTCTTCAGAGAGGTAATTCTTTTCTCTCATCTTTTATTTTTTATTTTTTTTGATCATCCGCAATAAAGTAAATTGAATTTTAAGTTTGCAAACGTTTTCTTTTCTGTATGAAATAGAAAATTTACAATTTCTGGATTAATTTTTATTACAATAATAGTAATCATTATTTCCTTCATTATCATTTTATTGTAAATATTTGCACATTTAAAATTAGTGTTGAAATAAATTTATTATGTTTGTTTTTTGAAAAATGCAACTTATTAGTAGTTTCAATTTCAGCTTACTTAAAATTTCAATTTTATTCATTAAATGAAATACTCATTGATTCATTTGATGATATTTAATTTCATTTCTTTATTATTATTTGTTTAAAGTAATAGTTTAAATCACTGTTTTAAATCATTAGAAAGTAATAGCTTAAAGCATTCATTATTTGCCTTGCTTAATTATCTGGTTAATAATTTCAATAACATTTACCACCTATCATTATCACCAAATTTTTGTATTCTCATATGCAATTAATTCTGATTTCAAAAAAAAAAGCTTTTTTTTTCTAAATTTTGTTAAAATCATTAATGAAATAAATCGGTTTATTGACGTTATTCGTAATGTTTACATTATTTCAGAAAAATTCTGCAATAATTGACAATCAATAAAATTTGATGAAGCATTTGATTAAATACTTGCGCTCATTACTTTTCATTTAATTATTCCATTTCATATTTAATTCATTCATGTTCTTTCTCTCCTTCTTTGAATAATTTATTAATTTTAAAAGTGAAAACAAAAACGAAAGCTTTTTTTTCTGTTACAGTTACGGCTATTATTGTGTAATTGTGAAGTTATTTGCAATATTTTCCTTATTGCTAATACATGTAATCGTAAATTGACAGGGGGAGGGAGACAGAGAGAGAGAGAGAGAAAGAGAAAGAGGGAGGGAAGGAAGGGATGATGATTAAAAAGAGGGATGAAGGAAAGAAGTTTGCTTATGGAAAGAGCAGAAAGAAAAATACGCTGTAACGAATATTGATCAACACACTTCCCGTCTTACCTTACCCCAACTCTTCAGTTCATTCTCCACAACTCTTCTCTTTAATTAATTTTTTTTTTCATTTAAAATCTACAACGATATTATCTTTCTTCCTTTACATATGTCTATGTGTGTGTGTGTGTGTGTGTGTGTGTGTGTGTGT